GTAAAGTTTATTCCGTGTCAGGCACTAGGGACAGGATGGCAAACAGGACAGACAGGACCCCTGACCTCTTCTGTCAGTCACCCTATAGTCGAGTGAAGAAATATATATATATATATATATATTTTGAGACAGAGTTTTGCTCTTGTCTCCCAGGCTGGAGGGCAGTAGTGCTATCTGGGATCACTGCAACCTCCACCTCCCAGGTTCCAGCAATTCTCCTGCCTCAGCCACGTGAGTAGCTAGGATTAAAGGCATGTGCCACCATGCCTGGCGAATTTTGTATTTTTAGTAGGAACGGGGGTTTCACTATTTTGGCCAGGCTGGTCTCAAACTCCTGACCTCAGGTGATCCACCCATCTTGGCCTTCCAAAGTGCTGGGATTACAGGTGTGAGCCACCATGTCCAGCTAGATTTTAAATATTAACAAAATAATTACAAGTTCTGATTATTGCTGTGAAAAGCACAGAGATAGAATAACATCAAAGAGGGGGGCACCACCGCTTTAGGAAGCCAGGGAAGGGCTTGAGGAGGTGAAATTTAAGCAAAGATTGAAGGACATTAGGAGTCAGACCTGCCAGAGCAGGAGGGAATAGCATTCCTGGCAGAGGAAAAAGCTTGTTCAGAGACAAAGAACTGAAAGAAGCTTGTTTGAGGGACTACAAGAAGACTAACATGCTTAAAGCATATGTCTAAGATCAGATGTGTGATGAGTTTGAAGAGGCAGCTAGATCACTGTAAGAACTTTAGAGGGCTTTTGGCAGGCGAGTGACATGATCTGATCTGAGGTATATTTTGAAAGGTCATTCTGGCTTCCAGGTAGCAGTGGGAGAAAACATGCAAAAATTATGTTCCCAAACATAATTTATATAGCATGGTGGCTTGGAGTACCACCGATTACAGTAGGGAGGGAGAGGAAGGAGCACATCTGGGGTATATTTTGGAAGTGGAATAAACAGACCTGCTGGTAGATGGGGTAGAGTGGGTGAGGGTTGGTGAGTAAAAACGAGGAGCCAAGGATGACTCATGTTTCAGGCTGGAGTAAGGGAAGGCTCGGAACACTAGTGGAGAAACAGGTTCAGAGAGAAAAGTCTCAGTCCCTTAGTCATTCACCTCAGTCCCTTAGTCACTGGAATACCTTAGATCTCTCTTTACCATTTCTTTAAAAAACATACGTGAGGCTGGTAGGCAGTCCCGGCTACTCGGGAGGCCGATGAGGGAGGCTCCTTTGAACCTAGGAGTTTGAGGCATACCTGGGCAACCTAGCAAGATCCTGTCTCTCTAAAACAACAACAACAACAACAACAACAACAACAACAACGACAACAACAACAACAAAATGTGTAGTAGGACATTGCTGCCTGCTCGGCCTAAACTCACCCCAGATTTTAAAAATATATATCTAGCAAGAGTTTACAGAACAGGCAGCATCAGGTGGGAGCTGGGGGCTTCTTTTAATGCTGCATTTGATCCATATATACGGTTTTTACTCAGATTATGTTTACTTAGATTTGGGCTAAAGATTCCCCAAAGCCACCCCTTGGTATTGACACTCATTAAAAAATTAGGAATTGATAGTAACATTGAACAATTTTCCAAAAACAAAGAAAAAAGAAAAAAAAAAACATCAAAACCCCAAACAAATGAAATGTGATGTACGTTTTCCATGTTATTTTATACATGAGCTATCTTTCCAACACTGAACTTGGTTTAGCAAGAAAATAATTAAAGATGTGAATGTGCAAGCCAAGAGCCAAAACCACTCTGAACAGCCCAAGGTTGTGAACTTATTTAATTTGTCCCTTCCCTGAGGAGTCATTTCTTGGATCATTGACTTATTATTCTGTAAAACAGTGGTAGCCCCTACCTTCCTCCGCTTACTGTCAGAGTATGATCGAGCTGTGGGGTTTGAAGAGTTTATGTTTATTGGATTTTAATGACTTAGTTAACAAAGGTCATTCCTAAAAGTAATAGAAAACTAAGTGTGTGGAAACAGAATGGATAAGACTGACTCGAGGGTTATTTCTAATAGTTCCTTGGTGTTGTTCTTAGATACATGTTTAATGCTTAAAGGCAATTATGAAGGATTCTTCCTCGTAATCAATTCACTGATGCTATATTCAACTACATTTGTAAAATGTTATTTTAGAACCCTCAGTAACAAAAGAACAGGGCTTAAAATATGTTGGGTAATACTGATATAAACAATGTATTGTTAACATAATATTGCTGACAGTATGAATATAATTATGTACATCTCTAATACTTGTTGATGTCACATCTGTGGTGCTTCCATTATCTTTGCCAGAAGGAAATAACTTCAGTTTAAGGTGAAATCTGGTTGGATATGAATCTCCATCCAAGTTAAAAGAAACCTCAGCGATCATTTAATCTTGTCCTTTTAAATATTGACTATGAATGGTAGTAAGTATTTATCCAAATGATGTCTATTAGACTGTAAAAGGATTTCTTAGCCGGGTGTGCCAGCTCACATCTGTCATCTTAGCACTTTGGCAGAACAAGGCAGAAGGATCACTTGAGGCCAGGGGTTCGAGAACAAATTGAGCAACACAGCCAGACCTCATCTCTATGCAAAGTAAATTAAAAAAAAAAAAATTATCCGGGCATGGTGTTTCACACCTACAGTCCCATCTACTGAGGAGGCTCAGGTGAGAGCACTGCTTGAGACCAAGAGTTCAGGGTTGCAGTGAACTATGACTGCACCACTATACTCCAGCCTGGGTGACAGAGCGAGACCCCATCTCAAAACAAACAAACAAACAAACAAAAAACAAAAAAGATAAATGATTATTTGAACTGATTTAAAATTAAATTGATAAAATAATTTAAGAATATATGAAAAGAAATACATTTACAGTCATTCCCCGGGTATAGGTATATTTTGAAAGGTCATTCTGGCTTCCAGGTAGCAGTGGGAGAAAACATGCAAAAATTATTAGAGTTCCCAAACATAATTTATATAGCATGGTGGCTTGGAGTACCACTGATTACAGTAGGGAGGAAGAGGAAGGAGCACATCTGGGGTATATTTTGGAAGTGGAATAAACAGACCTGCTGGTAGATGGGGTAGGGTGGGTGAGGGTTGCTGAGTAAAAACGAGGAGCCAAGGATGACTCATGTTTCAGGCTGGAGTAAGGGAAGGCTCAGAAGACTAGTGGAGAAACAGGTTCGAGAGAAAAATCTCAGTCCCTTAGTCATTCACCTCAGTCCCTTAGTCACTTGGAATACCTTAGATCTCTCTTTACCATTTCTTTAAAAACATATGTGAGGCTGGTAGGCAGTCCCGGCTACTCGGGGGGCCGATGAGGGAGGATCCTTTGAACCTAGGAGTTTGAGGCATACCTGGGCAACCTAGCAAGATCCTGTCTCTCTAAAACAACAACAACAACAGCAACAACAACAACAAAATGTGTAGTAGGACATTGCTGCCTGCTCGGCCTAAACTCACCCCAGATTTTAAAAATATATATCTAGCAAGAGTTTACAGAACAGGTAGCATCAGGTGGGAGCTAGGGGCTTCTTTTGATGCTGCATTTGGATCCATATATTCAGGTTTTTACTCAGATTATGTTTGCTTAGATTTGGGTTATGTTGCTGAGTAGCTTTTGAGCAAGTCTCTGCTTAGCTTTCCTGGGATGACCAAAACGAACACTGTCCTATTCATTGTTCAATTCTCAATCCCTAGAACAGAGCTGTAACATACTAACTACTATAAATGAACGAATGAATAAAGACAGTGAACACTGAAGAACTTAAAGTTACAGTTTACACATGTAAACAATAGCATAAATCTAATGAAATAAAGTTGCTGTTTTTAAAAAGATATATTTCAACTCACTTCTTCTCTAAGGCGGGAATACACGCAGCCTGGCATCAGTTTGACATAAGACAAAAATGTGAGCATGTGTGTATGCTAAATTTATTTCACTAGGTTGACAAAAACGTAGACTCCAAAGAGCTCTAAATGCAAACGACAAATACTGTACAAAAACCTATCAAGCAATTGTAAGTCACAACTTACACGCTTTCTCCTCAGCAAATTAGTTAAAAGAAAAGGGAAAAAGTATTTGAAATCTTGCTGGAAAACGAATGACCTTTAAAAATGCCAACATTTTCCGCAGGAATAGATTGGGTCTGAGTACTTCATTTCTGAAATTGTACAAGAAAAGACGACCTAGTTTTGAGAATCAGATTGCATCCTTCCATAAAGGTTTTAGGTCTTTTAAGTCTCCATACAAAACACTGCCCTTATTTTGAGAACAAAAGCAACAATAAGACAGCTTAGGCGGGACAGAGAGAGAAGGGCCTTGGCACAAAGTCCCTGGAAAGGTAAAACAACAAAAACTCTAAGTTAGAGCTCAAGTTAGATCTGATAACTCCAAACTGCACGACTTTTGCCATACATCAAAAGCAACATGGGAAAACAGAAAAAAAAAAAAATCATGAACATTTTTTGAATGTCCTAATTTGTAGAACCCCTAATAATGAATGAAATACACTTAGACAAAGCTCTTTTTTTTTTTCTCTAAGTCGTAGACTGCGGGTGTGAGGTGGGAGGCGAGGAGGAGGACGGGGTCTCTAATAAATACAAGACCCAGCCTCGTGGCGTGTTTAACTGCTGACATTTTAGAAGAATAATGGGCTACTTAGAATTAATGAACCTAACTACCAAACTAACTAAAATCACGACAGTAGGAGGATGAGCAAACGGAACCAAGTGGGCCACGTTTCAGGAGGGCGTACACTGGGGGCGCTGCGCCCTCCCGCCCGCATCTCGGGGCTCTCCCGTCTCCCCGGCTCCCCCTGCAGATCTTCGGGCGCCGGCGGCCCAACCTCCGGAGCGCGAGGAGACGCCGCAAACCGCAGTTCCCCGTCCAAGAGCCGAAGCCGGCGGAGCCGCGCGCGGGTCGCCCACACTCGTTCCCAGGGAGCCCCAGCCAGGCCGCCCGCCCCGGCCCCAGCTCCAGCCGGGCCTCCCTTACTCTGGGGCTCCATGGTCAGCCGCTCCCGGACCCCCGCGGGCGAGCCCCCGAGCTCCCAGTTCCTCTCCTCCGGGGCCGGCGTCGCTACGGTTGCCCTGACAACCCGGAGGCGGAGTGGGCGGGGCCAGAGGGACGGCGAGCGGGAGGGACCAAAAGCCGCAGGAAGTGAGCGCGCGCGTGAGGACCCGCGCGTCGCCGGGGGCGCAGAGCGAGGGTGGCGGCCGGGTCACCGGCTGAGGACGCTTCCCCCGAGGCCCGGTCAGGGGGTCGCGCCCTCCCTGGCGGCCCCCGCGACCCCGCGGGACCTGTGCCCCGACGTCTGGGGTAGCGGGCTGGGGGCCCCGCCGTCGCCGACCCGCGGCGTCCGTCGGGCGAGTGGGCCTGCCCGCGGGGAAGGCCGCCGGCCCTGGGCCTTCCTCCCGGGACCTGGGAGCCGCCGCTGCAGGTAACGGCGGGGCCCCGGCGGCGGGAGGGGTCGGGGGTCGGCGCGGGGGCGGGGACGGCCCGGGCCGGGTGGGCGGCCCTGGCGCACCTGTTGCGGCCACCCGGGGGCCCCCTGTCCGCGGTCGCCGCGGACGTTCCCAGCCCGGACGCCGGTCCGCCGAGGGCAGCCTCGCTGCCTCTCGCTCCGGGAGCCGCGCCTCGGCCGGAGGACGGAAGCCCGCGGGCAGCCCTCACGCCGGGGGTCCCGGCGAGCCCGGGCGGGAGCCGGGCCTGGCGCGGTCCCTCGAGCCCCCGGACGGCAGGCGTGGAGCGCCGCGAGCCGCCGGCACCGCCGCTGTCGCCCCCGGGGGGCCGGCCGCGCCTCCGGAGCCGCGAGAGCCGGGAGCGCGGCTTCGCCCGGCGTCGCCGTGTCGTCCCCGTGCCCCGCTTCGGGCCGGGGGCCCGGGTCGGATCATTCCGCCCGGCTTAGCTTTTTGTTGTTGTTTCGATCCTCCGCGTTTCCGGCTGAGTGACGGAATCAGCCCACGGGTTTTGTAGCCAAACTTTGTAGGGCTGTGAAACAAATGTCACCTTATCCCACACCGTGGTCTTTCATACTGGTTTTAGAAAACAGTGATTCAGGGTTTGCTTTAAGGAAGATTTTAGGATCACAAGGAACTGTTATCTGGTAAGTCGTAAAAATTCAAACAACCGGGAGCGTATCACAGGTTAAGGAAAGCCGGAAGGAGGAAAGAAAAATGGAGAGGAGGAGAGAAGAAATAGGATAAGCAAGAGAGTGAAGGGGGCTTAGCGGAGTTGCGGGGGGGAGTTGGGGGGTACAAGGGGTTGGGGGAGGCTGCAGGATTGATTTAATACTCAGGTCTGGAGATTATGATCCTTCTGTTAATTCCAGCCACTGCTCCAGAGAGTAGTTGAGGGAAATGAAAGAGCCCTTTTTGGGGTCATGCAAGTGATTATTCATCTTGCCACTAGAAAGATTTCCACTCCCTGGATGACAAGGACACCAAGGAGAATCACTTTCCTCTTAGAAAGGGAATCATTCAAAGGTTAATTGAACTTGAGAAACATATATTCTTTGATGGAAACTGACATTATGTTCTGCCACATTAGGCTTTCCCCCCTCTCAGACTATCTGGGGACTTTTTCAGATTGTCAAAACAAGAAGGCTCCTGTATGGATATTGACAAGCAGCGTGATGTATACAGAACACATACTTCTTAAGCTGAAGTATTAAGGTAATAATTTAAGGGTGGAAAATAAACACTTCATGGAATCTTAACTACCTGTTCCTGAAATTCAGAGACAGGGGCTTCGTTTTTAAGCAAAGTACTGTATCTAAAGATCACTATCTAAAGAAGTAAAGATACTTCTGTATCCAGTGGTTCTCAAGTTCTAGTTTACATATGATAAGCAAAATCGTGAAGTGGTCATTACATTCCAGATACCAATAGAATGATGCCCATTAGTATCTCTTAATCAAAAGTGACAAGATAATAATTAAAAAAAAAAACAAAACACCTGGCACTTACTGACCAAAGAAAAGGTTGGATTAAGTCTGCTCAAACAATAAAGTATTCTTATTTTAAAGCATTAATATTCTTTAAAAAAGAAGAAACAACAGTGCAGGTCTCTATGCTAAAGTAATCAGGACTAAAGAATTTGGTTTTAAGGTTGGAGAAAATGGGGTTATGTATTGGTGAAATATTTTGTAATCATACAGAATGATTATTTTATCAGTACCTATGAAGTTGACTTTGAGGAAATTTTCAATTGAGATACTTTAGGTGACAGGTAAAGACAACTGTAAAAAGCAATGATTATTTTATCCGTACCTATGAAGTTGACTTTGAGGAAATTTTCAATTGAGATACTTTAGGTGACAGGTAAAGACGACTGTGAAAAGCAACATTTGATTTTAGGGGACGGGGTACCTATGGAAGAAGACAGGTTCCCGGTTGGATTTGAGGAGTAAAGGCACTAAAATGTCTAAGGCAGGGACGATATTCAGTTTCTCTTCCCTCTAGCACCTAGTGCAATGTACATGCTAAATGTTTGTTGAATGAATGAGAAGGACTTTAGAGAAATTGCTTTGGATATAGGGATACTCTTTACTGTTGGAGAAAATACCCACGATCAGAAAGTCGCTAATGACTTAGGGTGGGGGTGTAAAGACATTGATTGTACCTTTTTGGAGTTTTCTACCATTGTGTTTTATTTCTTTTCACTGGCATGTTCCGTCAGTTATTAGTCAAATGAAAAGCAATAAAGTTCTATGTATATTTTTTAAGTCTCCAAGCTCATTGCTAGATAGAATAGTTACATTATTGTTTACTTTGCTAACAAAGTATCTAGTGGTTCTCAAAAAGTTCCACTAAATGTTTAACTAAATGTAGCAAACTAAAGCATTATGGATAGGGAATAACAATGAAGAGACAGATGTAGTCTTTTTCTTATTTAAATCTCTTGGCCACATCAGAATTCAAAGTAAAAATAACTTTAATTGGAGGTTAACATTATTTAAGGCAAATTGACAAAATGTAACAAGTGAACGTTGATTTAAGGCAAATTGATTAAAAAAAAAAATGTAGCAAATGAACTATCAGTAGTTCTGTCTCCTAGCCTTACTGTGGTAAGTTGGAAGTTTTCATTGTTTTTGTTGGTTTTAAGGTTTTTGTTTTCTTTACCAGAGTGAGGGTGCTTTTTCCTGTCTCTCTGATACTTTCTTAAACTCTTAAGGAGTTCAGTCAAAGTTGGAAAACAATCAAATTTCTATATTTGGTGTTCTACCTCTTTGTTCTCCAGACCTGTTGTGGTCTACATTCAATTTGTTGCACTCACATAGAACGTCTATCTCTCAGCCCTTTTACTCATCCATAACATAAAAGGGACTGCAGGACCATGTTGCCCAGTTTCTATAAAGTCTTTCAGGATTAGGCTAATGCCCACTAAATGCACTTCTCTCTCCTGGGGGTGCTACACAATTTAGCATTTAACTCTATAGTATGCTTTCTTACAAAATTTTGTCTCTTTTCATGTGTATGGATTTTGTACCTCTGATTAGAGTAATTATTTTTAGAGCTAAGTGTATGACTTATGATTCTTCTGTGTTGTTTGTAGCACAAAGTGGGCTTCACTATGTACCTGATAATTTAAGTAGGGAAATAATAGAGAGGACAAACCTTTAGTTAGGGGCCATTGCGTTAATTTCTAGCTTTGCCCGTTTGGGAAAACCAGGAGCTATTATTCTGTCATTGATAACTTGGGATCATAAAACCTGCAATGGTTGTCTGATAGTCGAGTTGTGAGAATCAAGATAAATGTGATTATAGATATGAACAAAAGTATCTTGTATATCATAATGAACTTTTTAAATGTAAAGGGCTGTTACTGACAGGCATAGAGCAAACATTGATTCCGCATTCACAGTGTACTTCTGGGCTCTGGAATTGCAGATCATAAAGGGTGAACAGGAAATGACCAGGAGCTTCTGAAGCAGAAGAACAGCCTAGGCTGAGGCACGAAGGCAGGAGAACAACTAAGCAGTGGTTTATTGTGGCTGAGATGGAGAATACTTCATGTGTATTAGAAGAAAATGGGAGGAAGTAAGGCCAGAAAGGCAAATGTGGGCTCAATCAGAAGGCACCTAAGGACTGCGGGTTTATTTTTTTTAAAGGTAATAAGGAGGATTTGGGTCAGTGACTGGATCCATTTTGAAAATGATCACTGGCAACACTAACAGGACAGATTGGTAGAGAGCCTAAATGAGAGACAAAAAGAATTGGAGATGTTGCTGAAGCTCAGTGAAGAAATGAAAAGATAACTAAGAAAGCGATGGTGGGAATAAGAATGAGAGGCCTCTGAAAGGGGTAGAATTGGCAGATCTCGGTGACACAGAAGATGAAGAACGAGAAGCCAGGGATGACAATGGGTTGATACAGTAGATTGTTCTGTTATTCACTGAACTCTGCAATGCAAAATAAGAAAAAAAAATTTTTTTTGAGGAGTTTAAGAAGTGGGGTAGATGATGTATTCAGTTTGAGATGCCTGTCATGTACATTAGACAGTCCCATAAGTAGTTGTGGTTGGACATGTGGGTCTGGAACTAAAGGAAAAAGTTTGAGATGAAGATAGAAATATGGATTAAGCATTTAGTAATTGAAGTTAAAATGTGATGATTTTCTCCAGGGTATTAAGTGGAATAAGGAGGAAAAGGATAGAACCCTGAGGGTGTGCACGTTTTACATTGTGGGGAGAGAGGCTGATGGTGGAAGAACCCAGAGAGACGAAAGACCAGTGTTCAGAAAAGGGAGCTACAAATCTGGGAGGACTAATGTAAGAGTTCCTGCTCCTGAGGAGTTCATGCATTGGCATTTCCTGAAATGATTATTTTTCTCTATCTACTGTAGTATGCACCACATAGTTCATCTTTCTGTTATTGTTTTATTAAAGTTAATGTAAAATGACTACCTATTACTTTGTTAACAACAACAGAAATCTTTGTGTGTTAAAACATTTAAAATATATATATATATTTTTAGATACAGAGTTTTGCTACATTGCCTAGGCTGGTCTGGAGCTCCTGGCCTCCTCCCACTTCAGCCTTCCAAAGTGCTGGGATTACAGGCATGAGCCACCATGCCTGCTGCTATTTATGGGTTTCTTGTCTCCAC